CTCCGTGGCATCCCAACAATTATTCCATTCACACACAGAAGAAGGCAATGGCAAACCACTTCTGGATCATCTGCCAAGAACGTATATGAACAGGTCCCAGTCCGAGAAAAGGATGGAAGGATCCTGTTCATATGGACCTGTCCTCAGACAGAACACTAAATAATAATAAATAATAGACGTGCTTTATTTTCGCACATATTTTCTCTCTGATTTGAATACCCTGAAAATATTTCGTGGAGATTACAGATATGAACATTATTTATTTAAATTCATGTTACAATCTCCATCTTAGGTCCAAATATTCTTCTCGGGAGTCTGCTTATCAGAAATATTCCCTGTTTACGTCTTCTATAAATTCAGTTTTTATTGGAATGCGTCTAACATTGCGTAAATCAGAAAATTATGGCATGAGATATTTTAAATGGTACAATTTCTGCCATTTTATAACTGTCATTGTCTGGATTCTTTACTTATAAATAAAATAATGACTTTGCATCATTCTTATTTATAATGTTGTTTAGTTGAAAGAACGTAGGGTTTGGGAACTAACTTTCAGCAAACATTTGTGTTAAATGGACTTTCATGTACTAGCCTAATTATCTCTCATTGATAACCTTTAAATACTCGGTTTTTAGATCGAGGGTTACTTTTCACGTGCGTCCGTCCAGAAACAGATTCGTCCAGCCCAGGAAAATGTAATTTGCCATCATTAGGTCACACGAGACACGGCTGAAATTCAGTGTTTAACGTCAGATGTCTGAGATCGAATTTTGAGGATTATCCAACATTTCGGCACACATTTCAGTTGCTATCTTCAGGGTTAAATTTGGTGGTGACACCTGCTGCCTGTCTATGTATAAAGCTTCCGAAACTCCCATCCACTACACATTTAACTTGAAAATGGCAGCTTCAAAGTTCATCGAAACGTTGAATAATTGTCAGCAGCTCTTAATCCCGAAACCAGCAGTCGCACGTCGAGAATTTATTTTATTCGTAATTTTTAAGTTTATGTTATTTTATTAAGTATTCGAAGCTTTTGAGTTTTAATTATGTTTTTGGTGTCCTTATTCTCCGCTTTAAGCCCAGCTGATTTATTAAGTATTCGAAGCTTTTGAGTTCAAATTATGTTTTTGGTGTCCATATTCTGTGCTTTAAGCCCAGCTGCTCTGTCGTTTGTATGGTTGAAGTAGGATTGGGATTAAATTATGTTATTTGAAGTTTTGGTAAACAGATTTTAATTAAATGTAATGTTAAGATGTATCGAATAACTCAGTAAAACTTAATAAATCTGCTCCAGGTTACCATTTGCTAATGAGGGCCGCGGTTTTCTTAAAGTTCCAAATTAATTAAAACCGTAGCTCATTTATGTTTCAGAAGATCTGTATGTCAAAGAGAGCTTGAATAATTTAACGTCGATGCTCGCTGGTGTTTGACGCTGCGAAAATTCCTTTGAACGATAATAATTTTCGTGAAAATGGATGATCAAATCTTTAACTAGACTTGTTTACTTATAAGAAATTCTCAAATCTAACGACTACATAAGTTGTTTTTAGGAAGTAATATGAAAATATAATTTGCTATGCGTTTTATTTTAATGTATTCAGCCTAGTCAGATGTTTCCTATTATAATGCGCCATGTTTAATTCAATCTAATCAACACTTCTTATATTGCTGTATGTCTGTGTTTGTTAGGTTTAGCGATTAAACAAAAACTTTACTTTTCTTTGTATCTTGACTGCATGAACGGCTATTATGAATGAGGCGTCTCTTGGTCTCCAAGGAAACGATGCTGGATACTTTGAAGTACGTCATGGCAACCTCCCATCTCCTCACAATTTATGATAACCAACCTAACCTCATTCAATGCTACTTAACTTTAAGCAGTTGCTGACAGCCGACAAGCGGTGGTCATCCACCTTGAGTGTGGGGGCCGATGGCTAACAACCCCTCACCATAAAAATCCATCATTAAATGAAATGTTAAACAGGGCTTTTTGATTTTTTCATGAGTTTACTTAGGAGGCCCGTTGGTTGATAAATTATTTATTTAGATAGTTGTTATTTTAATATATATATATATATAGTGTATTAAGCGTTTCATAAGAGATAACTGCATGTTTTTAAAAGTTTCAGATGTGCTGTTCTGTCTTTTGTCTTTGTAAGAAAATAGAGTAACCATTTCCAACATGTTCTATCCACTTACCCTTTTCCCTGTGAGCTTGGCCTAATGTAAAATTTTACTCCCAAAATATCACACCTCTTGATTCGTGCTTTAACTGGCCACTGCATTAGTTTTACTGACAGGAAGTTTGAAGCATAATTTAACGACGCGTTTAGAGAACAGCTCTTTCGGTCCAGGGGTGGTATTTCCACATACCACAGCCACATTCGTCTCACAGTACTCATATGATCTAAAATTATGAGTGTTACATAACATTATTAATTATAGTAACTAAACTAATTCAATAGACGTGTTCTTCCTAAGTCGTTGCCTCCCACAGCCTACGTCTCTCTCGACTAAAATTTTGTATGCATATATTTTTAATTACACGTAGTACTTAAAATTTGAAAGATTCGTTGAAATGCACGTGTTTGTAAATGAAGGCGGATACCGTTTAGGGTTTGTTTCTGTTTCGGTCGAAATACTTAAATTACTACTCCCATGATTCATATTTAAATACATTAGGTGTAATAAACGAATCTCGTATTAAAATAGCTATTGTGTCTTTACCGTTTAAAATTTAATCCATATTATATAGTAATTACCGTTATATTTCAGTGTCAAAAACTGGAAGTCGGGCCAGAGATAAGTTAGCAGCACGAAAGTTGAGCTACGTCGTTCGGGGACAGTGAATCCGCCTACTGAGAACCGATTCCCGGATTTCCAGACGAGCAGTGAACGCCCACGGGAAGGAAAGAGTTTCAATAAATTGGTTTGTGAAGTCTTACCCTGTCCGTACGACGCTCAGCAGAGAAGACGAGGTCATGAGCAAGATGACCCAGAGCATGTCGCGAGATCTCCTTCCTGAAGGACCAGAGGCGGTGCACACTCGATTCTTATATTCCTCCGGTGACCACTTTCGATGTTCTTCGTCACTCGTTCCTCCTCGTCCACTACAACGGCACTGACACTTCCATCACCACCACCACCGACAACAACAACAACAACACAAGTGCAATCCACTGCCATGTACGAGTCCCATTCAGCCGGTGTCTGAGGACCAACTAACCATGAAGGTAGCCGCTGTAACTGATGGTCCATGGGATTCCCGAAGGGGGGCCTTTGCGATACGTGCGATGTGGGAGGGCGCTCTGACGGGAACACGATGAGCGCCGACAAGACAGAGACGGCGATAGGAAGCACGTACAAGTGGAGGGGATGGTAATGTCGATCTGTCGCCGCCGACAAAGAGACTCCTCATCCGACCAAAGAGCAGCTGAGGGGATGCCCAAGGTAGTTTAATATCCAGCTTAGGATGATACCGTAACCCCTCGTTTGCGACGGTGGTTCTAATTACCTCGTACAAGCGAGCGGCATTGATTAGAGGAGAACTCTACATGCGTGGCTGTCGACGAGCCACGGTCCACGAACAACGACCGTCAAAGAGTATTCTGTATCCCCTTCACATCATACGCTTCGATGCTTTTGGCCTTTACGCATGTTAAATTTATAGTCAATATTGATCTTGGTAATAAACAATGTTCGCATTCACGCAAGTCCGAGATGAAAGTAGAACTCCAGCCAACATCAAAACCGAGGCAAAGATTGAAGTATCCGTTTCTTGTTTCCTTTTATAAATGCACGGAGAAATACACGAAATCGCGTTTGTTCTCTCCACTCGGATTGATAAGGAGACGGATACTTCGCCATTTAATTTATGATTATGATGAAAGAATCCATTGTTTTTTTTTACCTTGGATGTAGTGTACGAGACGCAGAAGTGGTTCTAAACCCGGAGACACATACGTTAATAAGCTTTGTAAGGAAGGAAATCAAACAAACAGAGACACTGAAGTTGATTATGGCGTTGGTAGGTTCTCACTGTCGGCTCGCTGGCTGCTGCTGCGCCTAAGAACTCTCTTCTGTCTTCGTCACTTGGCAGAAAGCCTGCCGGGAAGCTGCAGGAAGGAACAGGTGAAGTGGGCTGGCCGGAAGGCGGGCGAAAACAGATATAACAGATGAGTCAGGTGGACACAAAACTTCCTCAAACACGTTTAGTATCCGGAAGTTACGTGACAGTTGCACTAAAGGAGCCCACTTCCAGTAATCTTTGTGATTCTGTTGATTTCCGACCCCACCAACAACAAAAACTTGGAACTTCGTCAAGTTTATACAAAGACTAATGTAACTTTTTATCGGGCTATGGTTTTGCTTGAAGAAATTTGTCTTTCTGAAACTCCTTCGTCTAACAAAGTTTTCATACATTCGTAGTTCGAACAGGAAATTCTGGAAAGAAATTATGACTCCTAATTTCCTTCGTATGGTTTATTGTATGGTCGAACGCTGGAAAACACTTTCATAAATAGTCACACAATTTTTTTATTCTATTTCTACGTAAGATGTCCATTGCTGCTTTCACAATTCTGTGCATAATTTCCATTATTCTGGCTTTGCACAGTCGCCATCATTTTAGTGGCGCTCGCATTTCAACTTTGATTACCTTCGTCCGTCCGTACGCCCATAACCACTCGAGAAAGGGTGAACGGATTTTCGTGAAATTTGGTCTAGGGATTGTGCCCTAGGAGCTTAAAGCGGTTCCACAATTTTAAATTTCCTACACTCTGTAATAACAACGTGACGGACGTTCAAAGTCATGAGGTGGGGAAAAGATTCCTCTGCTAGGACGCCATTACTCATAATTCTCTGCGACATCTAACGATGCCATGCATTAACTGGAGAATGGATGTACGGATGAAGCTATAGACCATAATCCTTTGCGATCGTCCGTAATGATATAGTTACCTTTGTTAGCATAGTTACAATTTTTCTCCAAGGTGACCACAGGACGCAATACTTAAGAAATAAAAACAAATATGCAGATATTACTATTGTTTTATTTTTATTGTTACTAAGCAACGAACAGTGTTCTTATTATTATGACCAGATCCATATTCTTCTCGGCGTGCTACAATTGCCACGCTATGTATGCTTTTGCTAAGTTGTAATTCTTAGCACAAACAAAATCCTTCATACAATATTTGTGGGTATATTTACGGCGATCTCCAGACAGATATTTTCATTTTTGTAGTTTAGAAAAATAATCAATTACCGCACTTTGAAATATATATCGATGTTCCACGCTCGCCATTTATAATTCCAGTGCGTTACAAGTCAGAGAGTCCAAGTTTATTCATCTGTGTTGGAACCTAACCTAACCAGCAATATATAAGTTACTTATAGTGTGAGCGGCCGGTTTAAAGACGACTAAAGTAACGAGTTTTCTTCGTTAAAGTCACCATTAAATTTACTCAGGTTTAGAAACCGTTTCGAAGTTATGTTTTACCTAATGGTAATTTCCCTTAGATTTTTTCGAGGAAGAGGTTTGTATGTATGTATGGAGGATTGTTTCTTATATTTAGATACTGTACTATATCTTCATTTAACGACACTCTTCTTGATCTTATCGCACTGGAGATGATTTCGGATTACGAAGCTTTTCTTGTATAATTTCTCTTTTCTCTGTCTGCTTCAACTCTCGGTTGGATCTCAACTCAGTTTCAAGCATGCGCAATACAGCGTTTGTCTTAATTGCAACCGGGAGAACAAAATTTGCGCCAAACGGAAGCTGTGTTCAGGGCTTCCTTCACGGTGTAGCGTGAGTAAAGAACGCCTATGTCCATAGGTTTCTGTTTTTATTTATTATGAACCAGGCATCCCGCGTGATGAAAGGTCATTGATTTGCAGTGAGGTTCTATTGTTCGAAAACACTGCTTCGTGACAATGTGAGTGGAAGTCATTGTTCAACACCGACAGCCCCTCCCCCCTGAAACATTACTGCGTAACAATATCGGATTAGATCCATGCAGAGAAGAACGTATTTGAAACTCCAGTGTCGTCGAATCCGGTGGACTGCACCTTTCCAGTCTTGTTAATTTCTGTAAAATATCATTTTAACGAGCGTTGTATTTATTTATGGTTTATTTTACGATGATTTTTCAGTAGTTCAGACTATACAGCGTCGACAGAACGTCTTCGCCGAGCCATCGGTGCTAGTGGTTCGTATTCCAGACGTCTCTTCTATTTATCCGACTGAGGTTTCTCGGTGGTTTTCCTCAGTCATTCTACATAAATACTGGGCGATGACCTCTTCCTTCCACATTCCTTCCAGTCCACTACTCACTCATAAATATTCGGCGTTATATAGACGCCGTTAAATAAACCAAAAACAAAATAAAAATTAAGTAATGAATTAATCCTTGTATTTACCGAGTTATAGACCATAAACAACTACCTCCATGGAATAGGATAATTTAGAAGCTAACATTCGCTTAGCTGGTAAATGAAGTAACCTGAATGTTTATTACTGTGTCTAAAGGATTTCGTATCAGCCCCTTTTATGGGATAAATTAATCTTGTCCGCACATTCATAAAGGAACTAATGCAAAAATCTGGAAAGCAGGAGCCTCTTAGTGAACAGGAAAAGTGAGGGCTGTTCTTTAAGTCGAGTACAAATATAATCGACTTTTCAAAGAATTTTCTGAGTTACCGAGTCAAAGCCTGAAGGACTCGGAAGACATTATAAAGTGTGAACTGGATGAATCTGTTTCAGGATGTGGACAAAGTGGTGAACTTTTGTGAACACGGCGATGAACCTCCAGTTTGACGAAGGCAAATATTTTATGTGATTTACTGACTGTGCACTTCACGCTTATCGCTTAAACAAAAACATAGTTTTTAAATGACGCACAGTTTATTTTATCCATGATTTAGATTAGAATAGGAACGGTTAGGGTGCACGCCACTGCCTCCTCTGCACGCCACTGCTTCTTACATGCTCGTGTCTAGTACATGAACTCGGTGCACTACTTAACAAGTTGGCTTTTGTTTGTCTTGTTTTTTGTAAGTGTTTCGTCTTCATTGTATGTGATCACGTGATTGCTGAATGATGAAATTATTTTATGTGTATTTGGAGTTGACATTTAAATTTCACCTCGTGGCCACAGAAGCAAACGAACTTTGCTTTAAGTAGGATTTGAGTTTCTCACGGGGTTGAGTACAAAGATGTCTCCCTTCTGAGTTGTCGCGCCTTGTACCGCGGTAGAACTTTACTGACGTTTCGGAGGTCCATTCATCCTCCGTCATCAGGGCGAAAATACAAGAAGACAGCCATCTTCGAACTTTGGTTTGATTGTAAGACTAGATTTGGGCATAACATTTATATTTCGGGTTTAAGAAATGGCACAGGTTGGCTGAATAGACGTTGTTAAACGCCGTTTGTAGTTTCAATTATATGTAAGTAAACGAAGACCATCTGACAGTTTCTTGTCTGTGCTCAAGAAATGTCTGAACATGCGGTGTAATTGTCAGATTTGCCATCAGCTGCGGGGCTTGTGGCAGTGACGAGGCTGTCGGAAACACAGACTCTCGATGATGGAAATCAAATTGATGTGTGGATCAATGACGAAGCTGCAAGATCTCTCGACGGCAAATCAACCCGATGTTTTAACTATCGTGTTCATCGACAGTCTCACTAGATACATCAAGCAGCCCTGAACGACGTGACCATGACCTGGATTTCGCAAAAATCAATCTGAACTTTTTTTTAGGTTTCAGGAAGTAATTTACAACTACTGTCGTGCTTAGGGAAAGGAAAATTGGGGCTAAAACCCCGACCCCCGACTCAAATAAAGTATTTGTTTAATTTTATGGTTTCAGTCAATCTGATTTTGTTGAACGGTGTGTATCGATTAAGTTTATAGATTGTTAGTTGCTTCGGGTTGCCTATAATTAAAGGAAACTGGGCTAAGTTAAACAAAAGATCTTATATAATTTATTTATCGGGAAAACCGTAAAGACGAGTCTGAATGTAAAACTTTTTGAGGGAAGTG